AAACCCAATAACACATGGCAAATACTCCTGAACATCCGGGTGCCGTCTCACCTGGGACCAGTCCATGGCCACCCACTTGGGGCAGTCGAAGAGGTTGCAGGTCTGCATGACCTTGGGCCGGGGCGCGTACATGCACTTCCACTCCTCCACCTGCAGGATCTCGCCGTGCAGCGACTCCTCCACGCACACGAAGCTGCGCCGCTGGGTGCCGCCCCCGCAGGACACGGAGCACGCCGTCCACGGGTTATGTTCCCAGCTCGGAAGCAAACAAACGCAAGCACGTTACTTGGTTACTCGTGTGCTGGTCGCACGGGTGTGTCACGTCTGCAAACAGGGTTGCAGAGAGGATCACAGTTGTGGTTCTGCTCAAAGACCACGGGATGTGGGGGATTCAGACTTAAGTCTTTATTCACTCATTCATTCACTCATCATCCATTCACTCACCATTCACTCACTCATTCATTCACTCACTAACCATTCACCTCATTTACTCATTTATTCACTCATTCATTCACTCATTAGCTCACCATTCACTCATTCATTCATTCACTCACTCATCCATGCACTCACTCATTCATTCATTCACTCATTTGTAATAATCTCAACAATAAAGATTTAAAAAAAGAAAAAGAAACTCAAGGTGAGAAAGCAGCCTGCTAGCCCCCTGAGTGGGGAAGGGGATTCCGATGTCTGATCCCGCGACATGCGTGAGCTCCCCCGGGGCCTGCGGACACCCCCAATCCCCCCAGGGATGGCCAGCAGGAGGCAGCCTGTCCCGTGGGATTCCTAGAATGGTCACTCTTGTTCTTCACTGAGGCCTGTGTCCCCCGGGCCCCCCCACCCCCATGCTCTCAGGGCGGGGCCTGGTGTCCATCCCTCTTCCATCATAGCCCCTTGCTACAGACACAACCATCCCTCGCAAGCAAATGACAGAAGAGTAACGACAGCCCTGGCCGGTGTGGCTCAGTGGATAGAGCGTCGGCCTGTGGACTGAAGGGTCCCGGGCTCGATTTCCAGTCAGGGCACAGGCCTGGGTTGGGGGCTCGATCCCCAGTGGGGGGCGTGCAGGAGGCAACTGATCCATGATCCTATCTCATCATTGACGTTTCTCTCTCCCTCTCCCTTCCTCTCTGACATCAATAAAAAAATATTTTTTTTTTTAAAAAAGAGTTAACGACATCACTCACCGAGGGAGAGGCTGGAAGTGGTCGTAAGGCATGATCTCCTTAAAGCCGTCACTGCAAATGGAACCATGGTGAGAGCATCAATCCTCAGCCAACGAACACATTTATCAATTTGACAGACACAGATCTGACGTCCCGAACACCGAATCCCTCTCAAACTGAAAACCAAGTGGCCCAGCCAGTGTGGCTCAGTGCTTGAGCGTCGACCTGTGAACCAGGAGGTCACGGCTCGATTCCCCGTCAGGCCACATGCCCGGGTTGCGGGCTCGATCCCGTGCAGGAGGCAGCCGGTCCATGAATCTCTCTCATCATCCATGGTTCTATCTCTTTCTCCCTCTTCCTTCCTCTCTGAACAATCAATAAAAATATATTTTCAAAAATGAAAAATATTGAAAGTCTAACCCAGGCATGTCACACTCACAGCCCGCGGGCCGCATGCGGCCCTCAATGAGTATTTTTGTGGCCCAGCCAATGTAACGGTATGTAAGGAACGTTTTAATAAATTTTTCATCACTTAATTTTTACAATATCCTGTTGTACATAATGATGAATAACGAGCTACAAGGTTCGCTAATGACGGATGACTGTCATCAAGTTGCATTCACTTCCCTTACGCGCCTCACGCGCAGGCGCACCGTCTCTCCCCACTGATACCGGCAGCGAATGTTCCAGCAGCCGATGGCCACGTCCTTGGTCTGGGACTGACCTGCTTGGTGTGCGCAACAGGAAATACCTCGCTTTCGGAGAAGGAGAGAAATGGGTTTATCTGCGTGACGCTTATTCATTTGTGCATTCAGGAGGCGGCCGATCCATGATTCTCTCTCATCATGGATGTTTCTCTCTCTCTCTCTCCCTCTCCCTTCCTCTCTGAAATCAATAAAAATATTTATTTTTTAATAAAAAGAAATATGTATCTGTCGTTAAAACAAACAAAACAAATAAGAAAACACAAAGTACAGAGAGCGGGCGGGGCGCCCACCTGGCGGGGCAGGGGTCCATGCTGCACTCCTTCAGCTTGGGCTTGGGCTTGACGTTCTCGGGGTAGTAGTGGCAGTAATGGTCGGGGACCACCCTCTTCAGGCGGATGTCCACGCATTCGGCCGAGTTCAGCTGGTAACCTGCCCGGGGGGAGAAGGACAGTGTGAGAATCGCACCTGCTTGTTCTTGCGTGGCTGCCTTCTCACGCCCACACCCTAATCCCCCCCACCCCTATTTAAGCAACTTAATTCGGGCCCGGCCGGCGTGGCTCAGTGGTTCAGCATCAACACATGAACCAGGAGGTCAAGGTTGGTTTGATCCCAGCTCAGTGCACATGCCCAGGTTGCAGGCTCGATCCCCGGTAGGGGGCGTGCAGAGGCAGCCGATCCATGATTCTCTCTCATCATGGATGTTTCTCTCTCTCTCTCCTTCCCTCTCTCTAAAAATTAATAAACACATTAAAAAACAGAACTAATGTCCACGAGCCCCCGCGCCTCACCTCCTCCGCAGGTCACGGTGCAGGGGAAGAAGTCGGTCTGCCGCCACTGGTGGCTGATGGGCTGGTAGAAGAAGAACTGCACCACGCTGTCCCTGGCCGCCGTGAACCTGGCCTGGACGGGGAGAGGGGGTCAGGCGTCCGCAGGCCACGAGCTCATGCCTTTCAGAAGGCGGTGGACAGAGCGTCGGCCGGAAGACGGAAGGGTCCCGGGTTCGATTCCGGTCAAGGGCATGGACCTCGGTGGCAGGCTCCCCCCCGGCCCGGGCCTGATGCTCAACCACTGAGCCCTCGGTGGCAGGCTCCTCCCCGGCCTGGGCCCTGGTCGGGGCACGTGCAGGAGGCAACCCATCGATGTGTCTCTCTCACGTCGATGTTTCTCTCTGCTTCTCCCTCTCCCTTTCCCTCTCTCTTCCACTCTCTCTCAGAATCAATGGGAAAATATCCTCAGGTGAGGATTAACAGAAAAGGAAAAAAAGAAAAAGAAAAAACATTTTCAGACAATATGACTGAAACTTTAAAAATAAAAGAAAGAAACAACTAAAGAATATAGTAGGGGGTGTGCAGGAGGCAGCCGATCCATGATTCTCTCTCATCATGGATGTTTCTCTCTCTCTCTCCCTTCCTCTCTGAAATCAATAAAGATATATTTTTTAAAAAAGTAACCCATGAAAGAGGGTATTTCCTAGAAACCCACATGATCGCCACAAGCTTGTAAGCCTGGGACCAACGTCAGAGTGGTCCTGGCCCCTTCCCAGCGTCTCCAGTCCCGCCCATCCTCACCGCCGAGCGCACCACGTCCACAGAGAACGGCCGTGGCCTGAACGCGATGCTGTGTTCATGCGGCCGCACACACACCCTCTCTGATCAAGATGCATTTTTGAAAACCTCTTCCGTCAGGAGAGAGCAGTGGTTCTCAACCTTGGCCGCACATGAGAATCCCCTGGGCATCTTTTTAAAATCCTGATTTCTGGGCCTCATCCTTCGGAAATTCTGTTTCTTTGTTACTCATGTTGTGGCCCCTCCCCATAACCAAGAAACAGAATTTCCGGAGGATGAGGCCCAGATGTCAGGATTTTAAAAAGATGCCCAGGTGATTCTCATGTGCAGCCAAGGTTGAGAACCACTGGGAGAGAGCGAAAGCTTAGCCCAAGTTGAAGTCCAAGCCCAGAATTGCTTATCCAATGGGAGAAAAGCAGAACTCACACACAGGCAAACAAGGAGACAGTGGCGACCGGCTGCTGAAAGGTATTCCAGCCCCGGCC